ACAGGTGACTGTAGGACTTCACACTGGACAGGTGACTGTGGGACTTCACACTGGGGAGGGATGTGTGGAACTTCACACTGGGCAGGTGACTGTGGCACTTCACACTGGGCTGGTGACCGTGGGACTTCACACTGGGCAGGGCGTGTGGGACTTCACACTGGGCAGGTGACTGTGGGACTTCACACTGGGCAGGGGCGTGTGGGACTTCACACTGGGCAGGTGACTGTGGGACTTCACACTGGGCAGGTGATTGTGGCACTTCACACTGGGCAGCGGCGTGTGGGACTTCACACTGGGCAGGTGACTGTGGGACTTCACACTGGGCAGGGGCGTGTGGGACTTCACACTGGGCAGGTGACTGTAGGACTTCACACTTGGCAGGTGACTGTGGCACTTCACACTGGCCAGGGGCGTGTGGGACTTCACTGGGCAGGTGACTGTGGCACTTCACACTGGGCAGGGGCGTGTGGGACTTCACACTGGGCAGGTCACTGTGGGATTTTACACTGGGCAGGTGACTGTGGGACTTCACACTGGGCAGGGGCGTGTTGGACTTCACTGGGCAGGTGACTGTGAGACTTCACACTGGGCAGGGGCGTGTGGGACTTCACACTGGGCAGGTGACTGTGGCACTTCACACTGGGCAGGGGCGTGTGGGACTTCACACTGGGCTGGTGACTGTGGCACTTCACACTGGGCAGGTGACTGTGGGACTTCACACTGGGCAGGGGCGTGTGGGACTTCACACTGGGCTGGTGACTGTGGCACTTCACACTGGGCAGGTGACTGAAGGACTTCACACTGGGCAGGGGCGTGTTGGACTTCACACTGGGCAGGTGACTGTAGCACTTCACACTGGGCAGGTGACTGTTGGACTTCACACTGGGCAGGTGACTGGGACTTCACACTGGGTAGGTGACTGTTGGACTTCGGCAGGGGTGAGTGAGACTTCACACTGAACAGGAGCATGTGGGACTTCAACCCTCGGCAGGGTTGTGTTGGACTTAACACTGAACAGGGACGTACAAGGATACAACACAGTGACTGGCCTTTTGAAATGGATGAGTTGAAATGATTATTGATATAAAAGTCTTACGGAGAGCGTACTCTCTCATGGTTATGTCGCTATGTCATAGAGTAATTTCTCTGCCTCCGAAAGAATCTGTATTGATGCGGATGACCATATTCTGGTCCAGATTCCTTTTTTTTTGTGGATGAGATTTCTGTCAAGCAGAACAAACCGAAATTAAGTGCTGTTTTAAAAATGTGTGTTTATCAAAAAGGATAGAGAGGTGCCTTCCTAGGAGACCGATCCCCTAATACCCAGTTTTAAGTAATCTGTTGTGACAGCAGACAGGTTTATTCGGAATTATGGCCATATGGCCTAAATGACAATTGATACTAACTCATAATATACTGAGTCAAATTAAAAACTTCACAATTTTAAAAGTAAACCCATATATGATATACAACGGACAAATAAATCAGAGAAGGGAATTTTTAATCATTAATGTCCAAAGAAGGATTTTAATTAACGGTGGTAACCATAATTTGTTCCAAGCATCTTCAAGATTCGGTAATAACATTAACAGTTTAAATCATAAGTCCCAAGCACGAGAATCTGATGGCACACAAGTTCAGTAGCGTGTATGGCCACCATGTGCATTGACAACTGCCACACAACGCCTCAGTATGGACCTTGTGATGCTTGTGAACACATGATTGGGAAGACGACGCCATTGTTGCTGCAAAATGGTGCCAAGATCTTGCAAATTCTGTGGTTGGTTCTGGAGAGTGCGCAGACTTCTGCCAAGAGCATCCCAGACGTGTTCGGTGGGATTGAGGTCGGGAGACCTTGACGGCCAGTCCATGATGTTGACTCCCGCATTCTGAAGGAAATTCCTTGTCAAAACTGCCGTGTGGGGTCTGGCATTGTCGTGTTGGAAGATCAAACCGGGTCCATGTGCTGCCATAAAAGGCAAAAGTTCTGGTGCCAGTACCTGGTCGCGGTAAGCAGCAGCGTTGAGGTTGCCACGGATGACAAGAAGCCTGGAACGTGCATTGCCACAGAAAGCACCCCACACCATGACACTTCCGCCTCGAAATCTGTCAACTTCCTGTACACATCACTGGGCGTAACGTTCATGACGGCGCCTCCCCACCCTCGCCCTACCATCAGCAAATCGAAGATTAAATCGGGATTCATCAATGAAGACGACTTGATTCCAATTCCTCTGAGTCCATCGTAAGTGTCGCTATGCCCACAAGTGACGTTGACGTCTGTGTAATTGAGTCAGGATCGGCCCGCAGTATGGCCGCCGTGCTTGAAGGTGAGCAGTTCTCAGACGGTTTCGAACAGTTTGCGCACTCCATCTACCCCTAAACAGTTCATTTCTGGTTGATGTAGCAGTCAAAAATTGGTTACGGAGACGACGTAAGACAATCTGACGATCCTCTGCATGTAACGTCACGCGTGGTCGACCTGGCCGAGGGCGATCAGCGGTGGTACCCGTTTGCTGTAGACGCGTCTGTAAATCATAAACAGTCCGTCGACTACAACCTATCGTCCTTGCGACTTCAGCTACGGACGTTCCCGTCTGCAACATGCCGATGGCACGTTCACGTTGACCATTTGAAAGGCGTGGCATGACAAATGGCCGTAAAGACTTTTGTTTTCTTGTGTTTTTCTTTTTTTGTTAATGACTGCTAACATGTATGGCTGAAAACACGTGCGGTATTATGGCCATGTGACCAGTTGCACGTGAAAAAACACTTTTGCCACTTTTGTGCTGTGCACATGATTTTGATCGATTCACCTGCACAAAAACGGGTGTTATCTGAAGACGATACGTGGCCATTACTGTTTAAATACACAATAAGGGCCAACAATGATGACTCGTCAAAATGTTAAAATTTTAGGATTGTGAAGTTTTTTTATTTGGTTCAGTATATTATGTCACGTGCATATACAGAAATAACATATTCTTGAATCTGATAGAAAAAACCCCATGCTTTAAGTAAGTAGCCACTGAAAAGATAACATGTTTATTTTGTGAGTTGATAGTATTTATCATTAACATTTCAGATTTATAGTCATTATTCAAGAAGGAGAGATATGTAGATCTTAACTGAGAATACTTGTTACACTTAAATAAGACATGGAATTCCCCTTTGTCCATATTGGTACAAACACTGTTAACAGCATCAATATCTTTCGATTTACGATACATATTTACATTAAGATTACAATGTATGTAATGAGATTCTCTGATCTTATTAATCACTTGTCTGGTAAGACAGATAAATACATCTCCTGTTGAAGATGTGACTTTAGTTTATTATAATTGCTAAGATAATGCGAAGATGAAACAGTTTCGTACCAGCTTTGATAATACGCTGCTTAAATATTCCCATAAACACTTGAATGTTTTCAATAGCTTGTGCAATCCACACAAAAGAAGCAACGGATTAGTGCATGGTGGTCATCGCATACCTCTCAAACAGGTCACGCAATTAAATAAACTTTACGATAGAGGTTTCAAAATAGTTCATTAGAAGAAGAAGTTCCCTCAGGGTAGAGAGCTAGGACTTGAGTATGGGCGGCAATACATGTATGCGTTTACAGAGCTGGTCAAGGTACAGGACTTGAGAATGTTTTAATCAGTGTGACATCAGAGTGAGCAGGTTGAGATTTGGGACTTAAGAAGTTGAGATTGGGTTGGGATTGGAAACTTTAGGATGAACTGAGATATGAGAGAAGAATGGGTTAAGATGTGTATCATGAGACACACGTCATACACAGGGCTGATATCAGGCAAGTCTGTGCTGTTTCAGACATGGATGGGTGGTTGGGGATGCTTAAGAATACAGGCTTCAGAAAAAGAGCTAATGACAAATGAGTAGCGAATGAGTAACGGAACGAGGTTAAACAGCATACCGCTTGATATGAACCATCATGTAGGTACTGTATTCATCATAATATTGCGGTATACTTTTTAACAGATTTTATGTATTTTAGGGTTTAAATAAAAATAAACTGAAGAAGTAATAACATAACGGGAATTTTAAGGACTGGAATATAGGGCATGTTATAAACAATGGATTAAAGGGATTTTTAAGAGGGGGGAGGGTCTTCACAAGTCAGTAACATAAGAAACGTTTCTCTTTTAAAATCTAAATACTGTATTAGATTTATCATATATATTTTATTATTATTTATATATTTGTTAGCGATTGGTTGTTCAGTGATGAAGAGAGTGCCATGGATTAAAACTCTAAAGATGGGAACCTTGCTATAAAAATATATGTATAGTGCTAATAAATATGCGTATTGTTATGACGTGGTAAAAGGTTTGCATTTGGTGGGAAGATTTGGTTTGAACGTGATCAAAACTCAATGATAATGTTTATCACTAAAAACATGATACTTCTTGAAAAGCGCACTTTTTGTCATGACTGAAAGTAATTTTCCCTATCGGTGGTATGGCTTGTTTTCATTTTCAAGTATTAGCACATACGCAGCTTCGTTAATTAATCATCGCGATTCTATTACAAACGGCGAGGACTAAAGAGTTCAACCCGGAACAAATATTGCTCGTGTAAATGTGTCGTTGAATAGGTTCCTAGTGAAACAGTTCCATGGGAATAATTCCGCCAGAGAACAATAGCACAAACGAACAATTTCACTACGGGAACAGATACTCTTTGATATGTTGTCTATATTGTCAAAATGAAGAGCAAAACGGGTGATATAATGACGTCAATAAACATGGCCCTTACCGAGAATTGATTTCGCTGTAACCGATCTGTGAACACGTAATAACGACAGCGTTAACGATACAGTACTGAAAACGGTATCAGTCAAACGGTTGACTACGCTCATGTCATGTCAATCAATACAGAGCTCAAATGACACCGATCAGGGTCCCTGGAGAATTTACTTGTACATACATAATGAACACGGACTTCATTGTTCAGTGTTATAGTTAATTCATGTCACATCCGACCACACTGATATCTCATCGTCGCCTATGAACAGACAATGTATGATCAGCTCAGTACAATGCCATCTATTCTGGTTTAAGAGACTGCTGCTTACAAAAATAGTCATTGTGGAAGAGAATACGAGGCGTACGGCGTACAGGGCGGTCGCATTTCTATATTTGTTGACTATCTACTGTATCCGAAAGAGGCTGAAGCTCCTGTCGGCATCGCCAACTTGTTTGCTTCGCTGACGTCACATTGAAGCGTCTGGAATTGAAAGACGTGTGGTGGATGGTTTTGCACGAAACAAACAGCTTGACGAATCGGCCGGGTTTTTTCTTGCATGTAATTCACAGTGATGCGTGAACCTTATTTCCGGCCTTTTTCCAACTCAGTGAACACAATCAGAAGCTTTATTTGCGGTCCAACTCGACCAGAACAGGTTGGAGGAACATTGGGCCATTGTTATGATGATTGCAAAGGACAACTTCACTCGCTCAAATCAGTTACAATGACATGGAGGATTCGTAAAGGTAGATTGTTGTCCTTGGGTGCTTCTTTGATAGGCATTAAGAAGTTGGAGTATTACGTAAGGATAAGATTTATGGATGAACAACTTCAATCTTTATTACAGTTAAGAGCGACGTTTCGGTGTAGGTTCTAACACCGTTTTCAAGCAAGTGATGTACAGAGTATGGTTGACAAGTATATATACATCCATAAATCTTATCCTTACTTAGTTCATTTATCTGTCATATTTATGGAGTATTGATTTTAATAAGGAATGGTACATTACCATACACCTTCATACACTACTTTCGTATGCAAATTGTGTGAGTGGCGGATGTTACCGGCATGGTAGGACGAGGTTACCCTGTGTCATCACTTTTATATAATTTTCACCACTTTTTGCCTTTTACGCCTTATGGAATCTGTTTCGTCGGATAACCGAGACTGTTTATTCTTTGGCGTTGACGTTGCATATTGTCATTAAAAAACGTTTGATTTTGTGGAAAATTGTACAACACTGAAATTTTACAGAAACAGGCATATGACCAGCCTCAAGGCTCATGGTGCTCCCCCCCCCCCCCCCCCCCCCCCCCCCCCCCCCCCCCCCCCCCCCCCCCCCCCCCCCCCCCCCCCGAAAAAGAAAAGAAAAAAGAGAATAACCGTAGACGGAGCAATATTCAGCAGCTCCAGCCTTTAATGTCAACATTTCCACCTCCACCTTTAAGGTACGATCAAGCATGTTCTTTCATGGAACATTTCAAAGATTGTCATACGGTTCTTGCTCACAATTGCTTGTCGTTTGATCAGGGTTAAGGCATTCAAGTCCTTAGTAAAGTTTAAAAATATTATTGAACATTTCGAAATTTGACGCATCAGTAACCGAAATGATGTCAAAAGCAATTCCCGATTTTGAAATGTAAACATGTTCCCATGTTTGTTCAGATGAACACTTGACTTGCCTTTACATGTGTTTGTGACGGGTGCCATCGGTGGAGCAGGATACGCTTCGTTTTGGTGACATAACTATTTGATAGTGTTTCATAAGCATACAGGTCGGAATCGTACAACGGACACTTAGTCCATGAGCCAGACCAGATATTGGTACCACCCGGGGTGGCAAAACATCAGTATAATTTTTTGAAAGTCATATATCAATAGATGAAAAAAAACTTTGAAAGCAATCCGGGACTCACAACTTTGTGGTAGTAATCACCACATAAAGGAGGACCCCAGAGTCGAATCCACGGGACTAGATTTCAGGGTAGGGGAAACCAGAAAGTGGAATAACTTTACAAGCAAAAGTCATATGGTGAAGTATGACCACTCAAAATGTTGGTAGCCTGATGCTCTACATGTTGGTATGAATATAGGACTAATACAGTTCAAATGTAGGTCACCAGAGGTCAAAAGGTCACAACATTTGACCTCTGCTTAAAATATTATCACCTACCAGAAAATATATTGCAGATGCCACACCAATGAGACTTTCTTAACCCAAAGGGGCTATGATTGAAGCCAAGCAGTACCTAAGTCTGTTTAAAGTCTGATAAAAGGAACTTTATTATCTTTTATGGTGTGGTACAGAACGGTTTTTGGTACATTTTAAAACGAATGTCATCATGCGCTAAAAAGATGTAAAATTGTATGAGGTTGGGCTGCTTGAAATAGGTTCACATGAATTTATAACTCTCAACTCCAAATTATAAAGGCCATGTGCTAGATGTAGTCAGAAGTTGTTTTGAAGATACATTGTTCTGTTTTTGGGGCTCACAAGATTAAACTGAAGGTCAAATAGGGGTCAAATTAGATATGCTAACCGCAATAACATAAAATGCAGTTATCTGTTGCATAATGAATATTAATATTTGATAAGATCACGCAATTAGACACAAAAACTATTTTTATCACATTAGTGTAAGAAACTTAAGTCTTGATTATTGTAGACCGAAACAAGGATGGTCACATATATGAGTCTTCATTGTACACTGTTGATTACTCATCATCTGGACCATCATCAGCATCACTCGCTTCAAATTCAACCTCGCCCTTACCTTGCTGATTGCTACATGTCTGTAATTTGCAAAGGTATGTTTATCAGAGAGTATCGATGACTTTTGTTTTGTCGCGTTTATTTATATATATGTGGCCACACTCGATAATCGATAAATGATTGTATGCGTTCGAATGCTAGATTCGTCCAGATTATTAACCTTGGTTTGTCAGTTCAATACACGGGTTACAAGATCCGTGAAGATTCCATGTAGAATAGGTCTTCAACAACCCATGCTTGCCGTAGAAGGCGACGATGCTTGTCGTTAGATGTGACTTGCGGGATCGGGTGGTTAGGCCCGCTGACTTGGTTGATGCATGTCATCGTATCCCAATTGCGTGGATCGATGCTCATGATATCAATCACTGGATGGTCTAGACCAGACTCGACTGTTTACAGACCACTGTCATATAGCAGGAATATTGCTGTGTGCGGCGTAAAACAACAAACAAACATAAGTTGACACGCCGTAATGTAACTGAAAGAGCGCTTTCCTTCTCTCATTCACCTTAGATGATTCTGATTATGAAAAGAGCATGTGTCGACATCCTATCTTTCATTCATTCTCCTGTCACTCCAGCCTTCAACAGGCTTATGCTGGTGGGGATGGGGGTGCTGCTGCTTCTTCTGTCAAGAATCACGTGGACAAGCCTCAGAACATCACGCTCCCATGGCAAGGGCTATCAAACCAAGTGGCCGAGCACTGACAGGTGGGACGTCATCCTGCACTTCATTTACGTCCCATTATAATGTATTATAGCTAAAATGGATAAAATTATCATTAAAACGCCCGCATGCTATCAGGAATGCGCGGGCCACTGTAACTTGATATTGCCCTCATATTACTTGACGACGGGCCATTATCACGCCCGTTGTTAAGTGACGTCATAGGATAGGGATGCGTGACGTCACGTTCAATAGTGACGTCATCTAGTTTGTTCTATGACGTTTCCATATTTGTAAAAGTGGGTCAGTGAAATTCGTGTTGGTAGCAGTAAATGTTTCAAAACCGATATTATTGTTTCTTTTTATTCGATGACAAATTCCATCCATTTTAGTTATAATAACGGTATCGCTATTTTTCAGGGCATTATCATTTGCAGAAGCCCTCGGTCTTTTCAACTGCCCTTCTTCGTCGGGCAGTTAATGCAAGACCTCGGGCTTCTGCAAATGATAATGCCCTGAAAAATAACGTTACCCTTATAACATGCTCACAGTTTGAATACCAATGCAACATCACTGTTTGATCCCGTGCCACCGCATCCTGACAACGTGGGACGTTGCTAATGACAACAGCATGATTGTTTCGCCCAGTCTCCATCATTGACTGGATACAACTCGAATATTACTACCTGCGGCGTTAACATCTCTTCACTCACTGCTAGAGACTGGAAGCTTCTGATATCACTATGTTGTTAATATTATTATCATTTATTGTTTGGGCGGTCGGGTAGCCTAGTGGTTTAAGCGTTCGCTCGTCACGCCTAAGACCCGGGTTCGATTCCCGACATGGGTACAATGTGTGAAGCCCATTTCTGGTGTCCCCCGCCGTGATATTGCTGGAATATTGCTAAAAGCGGCGTAAAACCATACTCACTCACTCACTCATTTATTGTTTATAGATGGATAGTCATGTGCGGTAATGACCGGTTTCTAACGGATCGTAGACACGAAGACACCTGGAATGTTCTGGTTGTCGAAGATGACAATGTTACTATATCGGCTTGCAGCAGGTAAGTGTACACGAGTGAGTGAGTGAGTATTGTTTTACGCCGCTTTTAGCAATATTCCAGCAACATCACGGCGGGGGACACCAGAAATGGGCTTCACACATTGTACCCATGTCGGGAATCGAACCCGGGTCTTCGGCGTGGCGAGCGAACGCTTTAACCACTAGGCTACCCGACCGCCCCAAAGTGTACACGAAGCGTGATTAGCACGTTATATATTAAATCAGAACACAGCGTGTACTTCGGGAAAGGTTGGATGTAACTACTGAAAAAGGTCAAAGGAACTAATTATTTATATGTACCTTTTGTTTACAATTTACAATACCGTGGTGTTGTATCTGGGGGTGACGTCGATACCGTTGCCCGAACGTTTGGCCAAAATAAAAAAGTGTAATTTCTCGACTGAGAAACATGTACCCTCAAACGGGTGGGGTTGCTATGACACCTGGGCGTGGCAAGCCTAAAACACCACCTGGACAAGATCGCCTTATTACATTAACTGATATACCCAACAGATTCAAATCTTGTCCAGAACCGAGCATTCCGTACAATAACAGGAAGGCGGATTTCAACATCTAAGTTAAAAACAAGCTCTGTGCAGGCCGCCTGAAAGTAAGGCGTAAAGTTGTGTCCCCAACAGCTTTCCGAAGGCGGCAAAGTTTGGGTTAGGCTACAATGGAGTTACACCATGATAACAGACGATTCAAGGTTTTGCCTCCAATGGCAAATAGTGGATAACGTTGCTGGCAAATATTTTAGCAATGCAACAGCGCTCGTTTCTTTTTACATTGCCATGGTACAAATGCATTCATTAATCCTGCTCACGACCTATGGTTATATGGTAAGCCCTAATTTCCATCTGTTAAGAGTTGCATCCCTTTATCGTGCCAGGATCCACTTGTCATGTGTTCGAATCGCAGATTCGCCATAATTATAATATGTGGGTTTGTCAGCTCCATACTTGTGTCCGTTGGTTCCAGTGATATAATATGTGATACTCTTCAAAGAGGCGTTAAATCCAACTCACACATACCCTCACTCACCCCCTGTAAAGATGGTATTACACTGCAAACACGAAAACGTCGTTTTTTCCGTTTTCATGTTAATGGAATTCAGACACGAGGCCAAGAAGTCAAACCAAACCATGATACCAAGTTTATTGAGATAACACATCCCTCCGCTATGCACAGTTACCTCTATCGGATAATGGGTTGTGTTTCATTTGGTTAAAACAGTAACTAATTTTATAATGTGAAGTTTACACGATATACGGCTTTTCCATAGGACGAGAGGTGGTTCACATCACGTGACTGTATTCTTGAAATGACGTAAACACTGACTACTTCCACATTCCTGGGGAAAACCCTGGGAATTACCAAGTACGAATTCATACAGAAGCGTTGTTTCTCATCATTTAGACCCTTTAATTTTGAACGTTGCGTCTTAGCATACTCTGGGATAAGTCATAGAGTTTGGTTGCTGCCCGTTCAAGGATACCCATTGTAGAGAAAAAAACAACCCCAAAATCCAAACTATCGTATTGATAATCTACAGCAATCTATGAATTTACCTTAGTACCTATTTGACACATATTTACAATCACCTTTCAATGATCGGCCAATTGATCAGTGATGACAAAGGCTTGAAATCGCCACAGGTTAATTAACAACTTCGGAAATATATCCCGTCACGTTTATCGTGTCGGCCATTTTGTCGTCTTGTACTTGATGTAAATGTATTACGACGCTCTGTCATTGTGATTGACTTACTCAGGTAGTTCTTAACAGACCTTCTCATCTAATGAGGATATTGTTTGGAATACATTTCTTGTAAACAAACTAAAACAGATGTTCCTCGCTTTTGGGGGAACTATTTTAGGGCACTTGTGTATGATCTGTTATTATATGTGATTTATACGGTTTGGGGCGTTAATAAAATACACTGACGCAAGTATATTCTAATCAAATCAATTGGATAATTGAATATGCTTTATTTTACATATTACATAACATCACTACATAAAATTTGGACAGTTGCAGTAACACACTACAGTGATCGCATTAAACACCACTTTGAACAGTATTTAAGTTATATCACGGTGTATCAGACTGATGTTGGATACAAATCCGAAGTGATTCAGGCAATCCAACGCGTACAAGGTGAGCGTATCCTGCCACACAGGTGGCACCCGTCACAAACACATGCAAGGACAAGTCAATTGTTAATCTGAACAAAGCACGGAAACACACAATGATGCCTGTCCTCACTATAACCAAGCATGTAAATTATATTGTCCGTCAAAAACATGGACGAGTATAAGCAATATGTTCCTACAGGTAATACATGTCATACATTTGACAAAATGTATTGGCTTAGAGCATTATTGTTAATCACAGCGTATAGACTCGGCATGCAGATGAACTCATCGGCGTATTTTTACACTTTATCTTTTAATTGGCATGTTAAACTTCTATTTCATAAACTCAGTTTTATTTGTAAGGATCACTATGGAATCTTGGAAGGGACATTATCGCGTTGTCGTATTGCCGCATTGACGCCCTTACAAAACAAGCGAAACGTGTCAAAATTAACCAAAGCGCGACAATTCGACAACGCGATATTTTGGCCATTTGTCGCATTGTCGCTCTTTGAATAATCTTTTTCTATATTTTAAAAAAGGGCGACAATGCCGTAACGCGACATTTTTCAATGTCAAAACATGTCTCGTTGTCGCCCCATCACAAATTTGTATAAAAGGCGTAAAGTTCAGTTAATGTTACAGTTAGGAAGCGGTAACCAAGTTATATCTGTCGTAGAAGTTCAACCTGATAAATGTACGTCTTGAATTGAAAACACAAGTCCTTCGGCGAGTCCATAACGTTTTATGGTGAGCTCTTCTCTATAAGTGCTTAGTGTTCAACTCCCAATTCCAAACACGTTGTACCTCATCAACAATCCACATTCCTCTAGTGCAATGATCGTCCGGAAGATCTTACTCTTGACCGTATTAATTGGTTAGGAAATTAGGCGATCTGGGTATACTCCGATATAACCATAATCCAGGAGCTCCGGCGGGGGACAAACTGGTCTTGTTATTGTGTGGTATGAGCTGTGACGTAGACCCAAGAGAATAAAGTAAAAAATGAGACCAACGCAAGGCTACAATGATTGGGAAAGTCTAGATTTCCACAGCTCTATTCTGAAATTAAGAATTGTTCTGTCCTCCTTTTTAATTTTTAATTTTATTTTGTGGACATGGATAGACCAACCAGGAAAGAAATTGATGGAATATTAATATCACATGTCACCAATAATCCAGTTAAGTTCATCACACAATAACATATTAGTATTTGATATTACGAAGGGCATGATCAGGTACATGTTCACTGTAGTAATGTATATACATACTAGTCAACCTGATTGTAATGTTTATTATAGTGTAGCGCGTCATCAACGATTACTATATGATATCCTCACTTGTCATCGATGTATTGACATCGAACAATGGACGATATTTCGAAATTCTTATTCGAGCTATAAATAGCTTCAACAGGGACAGTACCGGTGTCAGTAAAATTTTCGTAGTTAAAAATATAATCTAAAGGAGCCAAGAACAATATTGTTTTATTAATGCTTTCTTCCATGGATAGAATTGAGGCAATCTGGGCTTGCCAAATCGTTCTAGACTTGAGCTGGATTCCTTTAAATATATTCTCTATGGTCTGGGAGACGTACAAGAGTGTCAGTATCGCATGGAGAACTGACGTTTGGGAGAATCCAGCAGGGGCCATCATGGTGAGTGTAATCAGATATATTGTGGAGTTTCGGGTTTGGGCTGTTTGCTGAATAGAACAAGGGCTCACAGACAAGGGCACAATGTAGAGATTAAAGCATCACCACCTTTGTTTATATCAGATATGTTATTGTGATTTGAAATCTCTTTTTGAACAATTGCGAGTTATTGTATACTCTGTACTCTTTCGTCATGGTAGAATATATATTTTCTATGTTTTTTTTTGGAATTATCCACAAATAATGAGAATTACAATGTAAACATCTATCTGGAGATATACAATAATACAACTGAAGGGCATATCTGAAAAATGGGTCAAATCGACAAATATTTCTTTCTTAAACACTGTCCGTTACAGGCATTCTAATCATTATATTATGCTTTGTATAGTTTTAAACTTGAGAAATATTGCATTTCAAATAATGGCAAATTGTGTATCTTTCGACATTTTGAATTCATTGTAATTTCTGCAATAAAACCCTAACATCAGATAGTGATATATACGAATATGGTCTATACTGTGATAGATGAATTATTTTTTAATTTTTTTAATTTCGTATTATGAATTAAATAAATTGAAATATGATAGTACAAACAAATTATTTTAATCTGTTCGTGTGAGTAGGTAACAAAAGATCGAGGCAACTCACTAACGTAACCATTTGTGAAAAATGAAATATTAAGAGTTCAGGGGTTTGAACATGTGCATTGAATGACAGACAAGAAAACAACGCAATGATTAAATTATGAATCAAACTATTTTATAAATAAAACTGAATATGTAGAAAATAAAAGTTTAATTTCTCATTGTTGGAAGGTGTTTAATAATAGTTTTTGTTTGATTGTTTGTTGTTAAACGCCGCACTCAACAATATACCTGCTGTATGACGGCGGTTTGTAAATAATCCAGTCTGGGCCAGACAATCCAGTTATTGACATCAAGAGCACCGATCTACGCAATTGGGATACGATGACATGCATCAACCAAGTCAGCGAGTCTGACCACCCGATTACGTTAGTCGCCTTCGTACAAGCATGGGTTGTTGAAGGCCTATTCTAACCCGGATCTTCACGGGTATTTTTTTTGAGAATAAAGTTCCATGAAATTCTGTATATGTCCATAATAAGTGTGTATAAGTATATGGATAATATATCCATACACGCCAATTAAATGGGTTAGACTGCATATGGTTCATTGATGAACTCTTTT